AGGGGTGAGGGGTGAGGGGAGGAGGGGGTGAGGGGTGGAGGGGTGAGGGGTGGAAGGGGCATTCCCATTTATCCCTCTTAGGGACCAACGCCCCTTGGGATTTGGTTATATGTGACGCTCACGACGTATTCCAGTGTGTGATGCTCTGGTTATCCTATCGGCTTAGCATTCCATCAGTCCCAGTTCGATTCTCGTTGAGGAGGCAGTTTCTTATCTGGTTTAAGGAGGATTTCGGAGTATAGGCATACAATATCCCCTACAGCGGCTTGATAAATACCCAGCCATACGAGGGAGACTGGAACTGATGTCTGCTTCATGTGAGGTGACGACGACTCCAGAGTCACGTTTGCTGTTCCGGTCCACCTTGTCTACATTGTGCTAGTTCCGGGGTTCAGTGTCTCCGCGGGCCGGTCTCTGAATCGATGATCTGGTTGGTGGTTTCGTCAACCAGACTGTTAGACGCCTCTGACCGTCTAATGTCCATGTGTTGTAGATATGGTGGATATGTGGGGTTGCGCGCCGCTCCAAGCAACAGCCTGTTGGACCAAGTTATCACAAATCGAGCCTGGCCCCAGACCGGACTCGGGGAATAGAAAAACTCCCGAAACCCTCTCCTTATCTGGTTCATATCGGAGTGGGTTCTTGGACTTCTACTCCCCAAGTCCGGCATGAGCCAGTGGAACAGGTATCCTATGGAGGTGTTTATCAAGTTTTCATTTCAACACCGTGAGGATCTAGTTCACTAGTTCAAAATGTTTTATTTCTAGGATATTCCTTAAGCCTCTGACGGGCCAGATAAAAGTTTATTTTGTAACTGTGAGACGCGACTCATGCTGGCTCCATCCTGGTTTTGTTTACTCACTTGTCCTGGAACACTTACTTTCAACCGTATGAGTTGAAAATCAAACCATATTCATATGGTTTGATTCATTCTTGTGTTGTTCATCACGCTTCATTGTTGTGATGGTCCAGTTGTTGCTTACTGTTGGTTTGTGTTACTACGGAAGGTTACCTTGAGGTTATCTTGTGATGGTTTCGGGGCTTAGCGTCCCCGCGGCCCGGTCGTCGACCAGGCCTCCTGGTTGCTGGACTGGTCAACCAGGCTGTTGGTCGCGGCTGTTCGCAGCCTGACGTATGAGTCACAGCCTGGTTGATCAGATATCATTGGAGATGCTTATCCAGTTTTCTCTTCAACACTGTGAGGGGTCGGCCAGTTATGCCCCGCATGTGTAGTGGAAGCGTGTTGAGTTGCGGAAGGTGGAAGGTTGAGTTTCAGAGAAAGTTGCGGAAACTGAAGGTGTTAGTTGCTTCCTCACATCATTACTGTTCTTTACCACTTATAGCAACACGGATATCCTATAGAATTCAGCACAATTCATATAAATTCTTATATAGAATTTCTTGACTGAAATTTATCGGTACCTTTTCAGCAACATACAGAAAACGCTTATTGGTCTACTGAAAAATATTCCTAAATTACGTCTTTCCAATGAAAATGAACTAGAAGTCCATCGCCGTCTGTAAAATACATCTATACACCATCTCCTACGTAAGAATACAGCTGAACAACATTCACATCCAGTAAGAACTAAACATCATCGATCTCACCACACCATACCAGACCACCATGTCCCCTCACCACACCATACCAGACCACCATGTCCCCTCACCACACCATACCAGGCCACCATGTCCCCTCACCACACCATACCAGGCCACCATGTCCCCTCACCACACCATATCAGGCCACTATGTCCCTCACCACACCATACCAGACCACCATGTCCCCTCACCACACCATATCAGGCCACCATGTCCCTCACCACACCATACCAGACCACCATGTCCCCTCACCACACCATATCAGGCCACCATGTCCCTCACCACACCATATCAGGCCACCATGTCCCTCACCACACCATACCAGACCACCATGTCCCTCACCACACCATACCAGGCCACCATGTCCCTCACCACACCATACCAGACCACCATGTCCCTCACCACACCATACCAGACCACCATGTCCCTCACCACACCATACCAGACCACCATGTCCCCTCACCACACCATACCAGGCCACCATGTCCCCTCACCACACCATATCAGGCCACCATGTCCCTCACCACACCATACCAGACCACCATGTCCCTTCACCACACCATACCAGGCCACCATGTCCCCTCACCACACCATATCAGGCCACCATGTCCCTCACCACACCATACCAGACCACCATGTCCCCTCACCACACCATACCAGGCCACCATGTCCCCTCACCACACCATATCAGGCCACCATGTCCCTCACCACACCGTACCAGACCACCATGTCCCTCACCACACCATACCAGACCACCATGTCCCTCACCACACCATACCAGGCCACCATGTCCCTCACCACACCATACCAGACCACCATGTTCCTCACCACACCATGTCCCCTCACCACACCATACCAGACCACACCATGGCCCTCACCACACCATACCAGTCCACACCATGGCCCTCACCACACCATGGCCCCTCACCACACCATACTCTTCCCTCCAACAAAGGACACTGACCAGGAGGAGGTGGAGGAGGAGGTCCATGTGTTGGACCCGGTCCTCGGAGGTTCTCGAGTGTCTCCTTCACTAAATGCTGCCCCCAACACCTCATCTTTAAGTCTGGTGGGCCAGTCAGATCCCCCCCCCCGGACTCCACCCGGACTCCCACTTAATAATGACTTCCCTACTCTCCTCCCAGCTTCATGTAAGCACTCTCCTTAACTTTTACTATCTTGCCTGGGTTGTATATCCTGCCCGGTTGTTTATGCTGCCTTGTTGTATATCCTACCTGTTTGTATATTCTGCTTGGTTGTATATTCACCCTAGTGGACTCTACTGCCTGGTTGAATATCCTGCCTGGTTGAATATCCAGCTGCTCTCTCTCTCTCTCTCTCTCTCTCTCTCTCTCTCTCTCTCTCTCTCTCTCTCTCTCTCTCTCTCTCTCTCTCTCTCTCTCTCTCTTTCTCTTTCTCTCTCTTTCTCTTTCTCTCTTTCTCTTTCTCTTTCTCTTTCTCTTTCTTTCTCTCTCTTTCTCTTTCTCTTTCTCTTTCTCTTTCTCTTTCTCTTTCTCTCTTTCTCTTTCTCTTTCTCTTTCTCTATCCATCCATCCATCCATCCACCCATCCACCTTTGTGACTGTGGCAGGACCCCGTGAGGCTGGTGAGGTCATCGCAGGCCGCTGTCAGTTTGTTTACACCCTCCGCCATTGTTGTCCTGCTCAAGTGGCGGGAACGTCTCCCCGGTCTGCTCCTCCTGCTAGCAGCTCCACACTCCTTGCTTCTCCTTCCCACCTTACTCGTTCTCCTTTCCCAGCTTCACTAGTCCTTCCAGCATGCTCTCTTTAAGTTGCTCTTCAGGTTACATAAGGACATTTTCAACTCAAACTCTTGGTGCTGTATATACCTGCTGCGTTTGAGTGTGTGTACATGTTTGTATGTGCTTCCACGCGAGTGTGTGTGTGTGTGTGTGTGTGTGTGTGTGTGTGTGTGTGTGTGTGTGTGTGTGTGTGTGTGTGTGTGTGTGTGTGTGTGTGTGTTTACTAGTTGTGTTTACTAGTTGTGTTTTTACGGGGGTTGAGCTTTGCTCTTTCGGCCCGCCTCTCAACTGTCAATCAACTGTTTACTAACTACTTTTTTTTTCCACACCACACACACACACACACACACCCCAGGAAGCAGCCCGTGACAGCTGACTAACTCCCAGGTACCTATTTACTGCTAGGTAACAGGGGCACTTAGGGTGAAAGAAACTTTGCCCATTTGTTTCTGCCTCGTGCGGGAATCGAACCCGTGCCATAGAATTACGAGTACTGCGCGCTATCCACCAGGCTACGAGGCCCCCATCTGTGTGTGTGTGTGTGTGTGTGTGTGTGTGTGTGTGTGTGTGTGTGTGTGTGTGTGTGTGTGTGCCTGTTTGGTCTCATATATGTGACTTGTGTAACATAACTTTAAAACTGCATGGAGTTAGCCAGCTCTACTTTTGATCTCATTCTACCTTCCTACTGTTGTTAGGCTGGATGAGAGCTTCCATGCACCCTTGTGGCTCATATCATATCTCCGGCCTATACCACATAACTTGTCTCTCCTATGTTGATGATGTTGAACACTGCGTCTTTGTCTTCTTCGTTAATGCCTTCACGTATCTTATATGTCGTGATCATTTCTTCTGTGTCTCGTATCTAGTGAAATGAGGTCAGTTTTTCTGATGCCAGCCTCGTGATGAGCCTCTTGTCTCGTTTTATACGTTTTTTATTCGAAGATTCCATACCAGGGAAGCATACTGTAAAACTGGTTTCAAGTAGGTACCTTACCTTACCTTGAGGTGATTTCGGGGCTCAGCGACCCCGGCCCGGTCGTCGACCAGGCCTCCTCAGTACTCCTCAGGTAGTGTACAATATTCGGAAGGTTCCTTTGTCTTGGTACTGAAGGATGATACAGTACTAACTAGGTTTAAAAATGCCGCTGAAGTTATTATGAAAATACGTTCATAAGATGTTAGGCTTCTCGTTTTGTCGATGCCGAGATACTTTATCCTTTGAATTTGCGGTCTCCTCATCCTTGTTCCCAGAACCGAGCATTTGCTTGGATTAAAATCAAGTGGCCACTTCTCAGACCACTTTGTTTTTTGCCTTGTCCAAGTCTTCATATATTATTTTGCTGTCGTCCGCTTATCTTATTTAGATTAACAGCTTTGCCTCTTACGGGAATATCTAGATACTGATTTATGGTGTGTGGAAGGGGGAGGGGGTAGGAGGGGAGAAGGGGTGAAGGGGAGAGGGGATGGAGGGGAGAGGGGATAGGAGGGGAGAGGGGGTGGAGGTGTAAGGGGGTGGAATGGGTAGTTGGTGGCTTGAGAAGGTAGCAGCATTACAAGTGATTTGTTGGCATGTATTATGCTGTACTTTTGAAGTACGGAATGAACAATTATTACGAGAGTGTGTCTTCGCCGTCAGTGGTGGCTCAAGACTACGAGACTGACGCGGACAAGGAGTTCGTGATCCTGGGCAACTCTGCCATCATGAGGTGCGAGATCCCGTCCTTCGTCGCCTACTTCGTCACCGTTCAGTCTTGGCTAGACAATGAGGGGAAAATCTATTATCCAACCGATAATGCTTACGGTAATGGATTTCTTCTCTCATTGAATTTGGTTGCTGAAAACCCCCAGCTGACTAATAAAGACTCTGTCATATTGGTATTTTCAGGTCTTTTGCTTGTGTTTATATTTAAGTATATATTTTTTCACAGGTTTACATTTTGTTGTAATGGTGATTATTTTTTTGCAGGCACATGTTGGCAAATATAAATAATACGTAACTTAATATAATTCATGTTAAACTCTTTTGCCTGAACCTCCTAATGCCTTTATCTCAGCGCCTTACTTTTGTTCCCATTCCACCTCGTCATGTTACAAATTATATGACATTATATCACCACCGCTTACTCCTTGTATTCCCTTCTGTCCAGTACATTTCTTCCTCCCCACACAGCTTAGCCTTTGCTTGAGGGGCATTAGTAGGGGCGAGGGATGGGGTGGTGCTGGTGTGGTAATGGGGGTGGTGATGGTGTGGTATAGCCGTGTACCGCAGGCAGGCGACATTCACTCACTCAGTCTGTTGTGTCTAGTGGTGTCTCAGGAGTACAAGACTCGGGTACATGATGAGGACGTCTTGAGAGGCAACTCTGCCGTGCTCAAATGTGTGATCCCGTCCTTCGTGGCCGACTTCGTCAGTGTACAGTCGTGGTCAGACGACCAGGCGATGGTCTACTACCCCACCCAGACCTATGGTAATGCCGCCGGCCTTCACGCCAACACTCACTCTCACATACTCTTCTACCATATTTCAGTGGAGCTTTTTCTCTTTCTTTTTCAGAATTCTGGAGATGGCTGCGTGATTTCAGAGGAACTAATTATTGTTTTTCATAAAAATTTCTCTTGTATTTTGGCCACTGTTGTTGCCTGACGGGCGTTACTCTCGTGGTGGGAGGTGTTTCCTCGGGTGAACGTCACGCTCCCTTTATTTTTCAAATAATTCTACTTTTTTTCCTAACTGTTGTTGGAATGTTCTGATTGTGGCTCTCTCCTAGTGGTGTCTCAAGGTTACGTCACTCAAGTGGTCGACGAGAGCGTCCTGAGGGGCAACTCGGCCATACTCAAGTGTCTCATCCCATCCTTCGTCGCCGATTTCGTCAGTGTTAATTCGTGGGTGGATGGGGAGGGGATGCTCTACTATCCTTCACAAGACTATGGTAATGCTGGTGGCTGAGGCTGGCTCAAGTGGATCATAATGGTTCTAATGTTCTCTTCTAGCCTTACCATCGCTCCCTCCCCTCCCCCCATCATCCCATTACTTCATCAGCACTAATGACTTTATATTCACCAGCGTAACATTACGTTTTCGTTATTGTTTTTTACAACTTCCAAGGCTTTCAAAGTGTGAGAACAGCCGTGTCTTGGGGGGTTGTAGCGTCCCCGTGGACACATGAGCCACCACACACACCCTGTTGAAGGGAGAGGCCATGCCCCCCCCCCCCTGTACTGTTGAGGGGGAGGCCATGCCCCCCTGTACTGTTGAAGGACGAAGGCCATGCCCCCTCTGTACTGTTGAGGGGTAGGCCATGCCCCTCCGTACTGTTGAGGGGTAGGCCATACCCCTCTGTACTGTTGAGGGGGGGAGGCCATGCCCCCTCTGTACTGTTGAGGGGGGAGGCCATGCCCCTCTGTACTGTTGAGGGGGGAGGCCATGCCCCTCTGTACTCTTGAGGGGGGAGGCCACACCCCTTTACTTGACTGTTGAGGGTTGGTATTAGCTCCCTGGTGCTGCCACTTAACAAGTCACGAGGGAGAATGTGGTGTAGATGTGTACACCACCAAACACATGTGTGAGGGCCAGGGAGGAGTGTGTTGTGGGGTGTCTGATGCGGGGTTCTCTCTCAGTGGTGGCTCAGGGGTACCTCACCCAAGTGCTGGACGAGAGCGTGCTCAGGGGGAACTCGGCCATATTTAAGTGTGTGATACCGTCCTTCGTGGCCGACTTCGTCAGCGTGCAGGCCTGGGAGGACCTGGAGGAGATCTCATATGTGGCCACTGACAACTACGGTACGATAACCTCACCACCAATGCTCACTAACAACCAACTCCTGCTTCCCAGTTTTCAGATCACTGGTGCTTCTCCTGGGCTGGCTCATGCACTGTATTCAATAAATATTTTAATTAAAACATTTACTATATTTTTTAACTCGCATCGTGATACAACGGATACATCGTGATACAGTGTCTTTCCACATATTGTTATATCTTACTGTATACGTAAGATATGCATTAATATAAACAATTTTGAAGTATAAAGTATGTAAGGGGCACTGACCAGTGGCGGTAAAGATCACCGAAAATGCGCAGCCAGCGCGGGTCACGGAGCGCATTGTTGGCTATATTTGGTTCTTACTTAGGGCACCAATTATGTATAGGCGGTACTGGTAACCTGGCTTACGCTCAGATATACGTTCAAGCACTGCCGTCACCCAGACAATGGCTGCCAGTCAAGTTGGAATTTGATGCTCTTAATTACAGATATATAAAAACGTGGTGTGGGTGTGATGCAGTTTGTGCCGCTGGGAGACAGCACAATGTTTTCCTGCCCGAGGATCAACATTTGTTGCTCATTATTATTCCTACCTCATTTGAGGAAGGTGGCGGGCTGGAATCTCTGATTACTCTCATCTCTCTCATGTTTTCCTTAACCCTAAACTTTAATGAGTTTTCAGATTTATCTTATTATAGTTTGCTGATATAGGACGTTGGGTCGTGGTCGTATGGGTGACGCTGCCTTCTGGGAGGCCTCCTCTTCTATCTTTTTGTTTTTTATTTTGTAGTGTCTTCGTGTCGGCAACAAATATATTACCCAACAAAATATTTTTAGTTGCCATGCCCGCCATTGGCACTACTTCACGTTGCTGCCATCATACAGATTCGTGTCACCCACCCCGGTCTGACCATATGCCAAGCGTACAACTTGTACGGTTTTATCGTACCAAGGCGCACAATCCTACACTTCGTAGCCCATCGATACCGATGCTCAATAGTCCAGAAAAGCGCACATTTTCAATGTTTTTATATATATCGCAAAATCATTCAGTTTATATTATTGAATCCCTTGTGTAGAGACATGATGCAACTCGCATCTTACTGTATACTTCTTACGGATGACTGACCCACTTATCCGTCCCACTATACTGTGGTGATAATTGGTGGGAACGAGGACATTGCTCCCTTCCCCTCCTCAGGTTAAATACTTGCTTGACTCTTACTCTCCAGCTTCTCTACAGCAACGTGTTATTTTCTTTTGATTTTCATCACGTTGTGAGTAAAATGAAATGTAAACAGAATAGTGAGCATGACGGCCGGTGCTCAGCTCCAGCAGCACCAGCATCAGAACTGTTTTGACTACATTATTAAAATACAAAAGCGAAAAGCACGACTATTCCTCGACGTCCCCACCAGGGTGTTCTGGCCTCATCACTGAGCTATAATATCTATATTATGAATATAGCTCCGCCATATTGGAGCACTGTGCGTACAGCTCCATGAGTGTTTAGAACAAAACTTACACTGTTTAGGCCTCGTCATGAATGTATATTAGAACCGGCTGTATAAAGATCAATATCAACTTTATCACATATATGACTTTTATTAAATCTTAAAGACCTATTTAGCTTGTCTTCAAGTTTTAAAACATAAGAAGATACATCTTTATCAACATTAATATGATAACTTGCCTTACAGTCCAAGTATTTAAACGGTTATTGCTGTAAAATGAATCTAATTAAACAAGGTCGCTATTCACTCATAAGAGTGATACATATTACTAACTCTTAGAGCTACACATTATTTAATATGACAACTTTACTAATTAATTAGTGTTTAAAGCACCAACAATTAGCACGGTTTTTCTGGCGTCACCGTTAATATACACCGTTAATTTACATGCTTAATGTTTTTGTGTATACTGTATGCAGTGTATATTTTATTTTTGTATAGCTTTTGGATCTGTAATTTGCTAAATTAAATTATTTATACCTCTAAAAGTTAGTAGCTTTATCCTTATTAGTGGAAAACGAATTTATTTAACACGTATGACAGAAACAATTGCCAGAATAATATTTAGTGCTGTATGTTTACAAGGTTTCTCGGCGAGAACTGTAGGCTTGGGAGCCGGTCGGCCGAGCGGACAGCACACTGGACTTGTGATCCTGTGGTCCCGGGGTCGATCCCGGGCGCCGTCGAGAAACAATGGGCAAAGTTTCTTTCACCCTATGCCCCTGTTATCTAGCAGTAAAATAGGTACCTGGGTGTTAGTCAGCTATCACGGGCTGCTTCCTGGGGGTGGAGGCCTGGTCGAGGACCGGGCCGCGAGGACACTAAAAAAAAAGCCCCGAAATCATCTCAAGATAACCTCAAGATATTGGCATAGAAGCTTTGTCTTCAACACTCTTGAAGCTGCAACAACCAGTGTTTTATCCGTGACATTCACTGTCCATTTGTTACATCCTGGTGTTCCCTCTCACCATGATTTGGTGTCATTTGCAAAACAAACGAGGATCGCGACCAACTCTCAGCCTTACCACCAGGGCATTCTGCTATCGTTGTAAGCAAAAACAAGCGAGCATCGCGGCCACTTCTCGGCTTCGCTACCATTTTGTTCTGGCATTATCGTAAATAGCAAAGCATAGTAGCCAATTCTGGGCTTAAGTACCAGGATGTACCTGGATTATACCTGCATGGGGTCCCGGGAGCTCTACTTGCCAAGCCCGGCCCGGGGCCTGACTTGACGTGAGAGGATATTTTGTGGACGTCACAAACAAACACGAGAAGGCATCAGAGCCAGATCTCGGCCTGTGCACCAGGACACTCTGGCGTCGTCTTCTCTTTATCGCCACTTTCCAGGTTCTCCCGCCAATTTATGTTGCTACTTCCGTCTTTTACTGTTTTTACTGGTTTGCAGCCCACTGGTGTACTGCGTTGCCCACACCGTTCCCCCTCAGTTGTTTCTCGTGTGTTAAACATACTGCACTATCATTTTCCTTATCATGTTTTGGGACTTTATGTAATTTATATTATTGA